CAATATATGTAACACCCCGCTTTTTCATAAACATCAGAGTGCGCAACTCGCAATTTTATTGAAAATAACTTCACTTTTACATTGCGAAATACTGATTCGGAGTGCTACTAAAATACATAACTGACTGAAAAGTCTGAAACTTTTGATTACAAAAGTTAACTAATACATGACTGATAAAACTAGACAAATTCACTGTTGCAGAACTGATAATGGACTTCAGTTGAACCAACAGTGAATCGTCAACAGCTTGCTGACTGATATAGGGCTAAGTATGACAAACGGCCAAACATCAGCGGAAGCTGTAGCTGGGAATTTGGTTAGCAATGCCGTAGTCGTGAAAACATTTTATCTGAAAGTAATAACGGCTCTGCTATGCCAAATTCGAACTGTACAAAACATAATTTAATCTTTGTAAGCATAAAGCTTAGGTAATTTAAACTTTATAAGCATAATCCCGAACAGCTCCGTCATCTCACTCCTCCGGCCCGACTTCATAACCTGAAAAACATGATAAAACTGGGGAGTGAGCACTAAGGCACTGTGCTCCGTGGAAACCCATACTAATGCAAAACATTGTAAATAATAACAATATCATGAACTAAGCATATATATCTGAACTGAATCTGATACCGGTCTGAACTCGCGACATAAGTCACGTAACTGATAACTGATCTCGTGACCGAAGCCACGTAGTGACATAAGTCACATATGAACTGAACATCTGCCGGCGAACCGGACACCATGTGCACACTCTAGTGGGCAGACCAGGGCCACTAGAACCCAGAATGGACCGGCGACCATTCCGAGCGGATACTGAAAATACATACCTCGAACATGGTAGAGCAATTATAAACAATGTAGTACTTAGTCTGAGTCCCCACCTGAACTGCTGATCTGAAAATGTAAGTGCTGATATCTGCATCCTGATCATACTGAAAATAATATAAACATTTACTAAATACTATGCTCAGACTAATAAAAATAGCTGATTAATATGTTAAGATGCTCTACTAGACTTAAACATGATGTCTGAACTTAACCGGTAATACCGGAGCTGACTAAACTCGGAATTGGACTGACATGAATTTACTGAACTAGATTAATCCCGGAAACTTACTGAAAATAACTCTAACTGTTAAACCGATTAAATAGATCAAACCGGATGCTAATGGGGCTGAACCGGACTTAAATACAGTGGCTGAATTTGCTTAACATATTCTGATTTATCTTAGATACTAATACTGAAATTACATGAAAATTCTTAACATCACCCTTCACTTAATGTGGCCGTGGTAATGCGCGAGGTGCGCTACCACCTTCGCGGCCAAATTCCGATCAACATAACAAGTCAAGCCCGACAATACACTTGAACAAACAACCTCATAATTCAACTAAATAAGGTTTAACCGATCAATTAACTCTTAAATCAACAAGGTAAACTTGTTAATTACTCCCGGACATACTCATACTCACGGGCATGTGCACGGATGTGCACACCGTCAGACGGCAACAAGTCACGCTATGACTGAGACTCCGATTAACTAAACTAACTCAATATTAAAAATGATCAATTCCGGGAAAAACTCGAATTACTAAAATAATCGCTGAAGTTACTTAAAATTATCTCTTTTACTTAATTAACTAGAATAGGCCTGTGGCGAACACATCGTGTCCTGCCCACAACGATGACCGTTGTCCGGCCTTTCTATATCTCTCGGCCAACATCATAACAATCACATATAAATAACCTTCTTAAGCTATTAAAACTTGACGTGTATGAATGACCCAGACCATAATTTTAGCAACAGAACATAATAACCGATAGTTCGGGACATGCGCGATGTGCGCCGCCCTCTACTCGGCCGATTACCGACCGACTCAAACAAAACTTCAGCCTCTTAGTACTCTTGAACAGTGAATCACATAACTCAGCTAATTAAGCTTATTAGATTAAATAATTTTCTGAAATCTACAAGATGATCTTAAACACATATACTCAATCTGGGCGCACACACATACACAAACCTGCACACGGCCGGAAAACTCAAGACCTCAACATAACTTGGCTTAATTTCGATACAACTATCTGATTACTAAGTTAATTGATTCAAGGTAACCTAAATTACCTCTATCTCCTCCGACGATCGGTAAAAGGAAGCTTTCGATCGCTCGATGCTGTGACCGGCGTGTAATAGGGGTGACGATATGGTCCGTGTGACAGCTATTTCTTCTTAATTACCTGAAATTGCTGGGCTCTGCTCACTCTCTATACTCTCGTCTCCCCACGGCTTGAAGAAAAATAATGGGGAAAAGAAAAAAAAGAAAGTCTCCGTCTCCACATATGATAGCCGAGAGAAAAATGATAACCATTTAAGATAATGATGTATGCTTGTAATGTAACCCTCGCGTGAGCTTCCAAATGTTAGCTATTCATGATATAATTGGTGAATAAGCTTCTTCTTCTAATGCCACGTTGCAAGTCAAAATGATGAAGTGATTCTCCCAAAAATAAAAGAATCACACGGCTTAAGGTTAATTAATGTGATCAATTAGTTTAATTAATCACTTAGTATGTTTAATTAATCAATTAAACATAATACTTAATTACCCAAAATTATTCCGGACGTAAACGATACGTCGAAAATAAATTTCGGTAATCTCGACTGAACATAATTAATTCCGAAAATAATAATCGATAACGTAATTATATCGGAACTAAAACATAATTATCCCTTAGTTCCTCCTCATTAATGTTAATTAATTCTTAATTAACATTAAGCTAATCATAATTATCTTAAGCTAATTTCGATTAATTAGCTTAAACATGATTAAGTTAATTAAGCACGGCTAATGACCATTACTTAATTAACAATGGACGGTGTACCAATGTGAACGTGTCACAGTACAGGTAAACCGATCTTGACATAAAGAACTTTAACTGGATTAATTATCGGAATATTATTCCGAACATGAACATAACATTCGAAAATTAATTCGAATATTCTTTACTTTGACGATTTAATCCGAAC